TATATATATATAAATATATATATATATATATTTGCGAGTGTGTGTGTGTGAGTGTATGTATGTATGTATGTGTATATATTGTATTTGTGACGTGTTTGTATAAGTATATGTATACATGTATGTATGTATGTATGTATATATATGTATGTATTGTATGTGTGCGTTCGAGTGTATGTATGTATATATGTGTGTAAATTGTGTGTGTGACGTGTTCGTATAAGTATATGTATTCATATACATGTACTTGCCATGAACAATACGTTCGCACAAATCACACTCTTCGTTAGTTGGCTATCTGATCGTGTTAAAGTTTATGTAATATTTTGGTTGTAGCATCTTTCAACTCGCATTTACTTTCAGCTGTCTTGATTCCCGCAGTCGGAGGCCAAGACGGAGGAAGTCGAGGAAGAAGAGGAGGAGTACGAAGAATATGAGCTTTAAAATATTTGAATGCTAGTAGAGAAGCAATCTGTAGTTGACATCATTCTGTGTATACATTCGTAATTGGGATGTGTACGCACACGATGATATATATGCACGTGTCCTCTATAACACACGTATATAGAATGCTTGCAACGCGTCTGATCGGAGCATGCATTGGCTTCTGCAAACCGTGTACATCTCTTAACTCGAAGATAGCTCGGTATGAAATACTACTGAAATGTTAAGTGACCCGCTGACAGACGGTACATCCATATGTTGATAGATGAGGTTGCTATGTGATGCGGTTGTTGGTTGCTGGCAGTTGAACAATCTACAATCGGATCGTTGTAATCTATATCAGCCACAGTCGTGCTCTGCTTAGACGGTTAGTCGGTATCGTTGATATCAAGCTATTTGGTTATTTAGTGAAAAAAGAAGGGAAAGAGGATTTGACTCCCAGATGAAGGCAAATACACCTGTTAACAAATTTAGAGACTCAATAAAACTCTATTGAAGAATCTATATTCAGGGCTGCAATTTTATATATAGAATATGCCATCGAAAGCCTACCATATTCTACTTTTTTTTCTGCGATTCCGGATGAGATTTTTACATAACACCAACACTGAGAAGTTTGGATATACGTGTGGGTGCACATATACCTCAATTTGTAGGGGTTATGAACTCGGGCGTGCACTGTGCCTCACTTTCACATGGGGTAAACAAACGCCCGTAAATAAAGCCTATGAGCTTATCACTCTTCCAGGGTCTCCATAGCAACCGTGCCAGTTTCCGAAACTTCTTCGGTGGCCTCCGGTGCATCGCTCGAGTACTCTACCACCATTTCAGGCACACCTAGAGTGCACCAACACTCCTCAGGTTCCGAACTGACTTCGGCGTCAGGGCCCGCAGTTGCATCCACATCATCACTAACATCACTAACTTCTTCCTCAATTTCTTCCATACTGTATCCCTCCGGGCATGTGGTACCATCGTTCTCGCAGGGCGCTACAGGGGGCAGCAAGCCACCCTCGTCTATAGGAGGTAGTATGCCACCCTCGTCTATAGGGGGTAGTATACCACCCCCGTCTATAGGGGGCAGTATGCCACCGTGGTCGATGAGTTGTACACATTCGCAAAAGTATGCTGCGTCGTCAGTGGCTCCCGCAGGAGGTGGTTCGAGAAGGGTTAGGCCCAGTGGACAGCAGATTGTAACCATATCTGCTTCGTCTGTGTACTGTATTGGTAGATCTGCGCATTCTCGTTCGCCTAAGATACAATTGTTAAAGCCTGGCATCTGTCGACGCACTGGCGGGGAAGCCAAGACTGCTGCCGATAAGGCACTTGATGCCAATATAAATGTCGAAATGTACTTCATTTTGCTCGTACAATTGGTTGAGAAGAGCTGAGCGTGGGGTGTCCGAGTGTATTCGTTACTATATATGATGGAAGCTAATATATGGTGACTTTTATTCCCGGATCAGTAAATACTATCGTATATACGTTGTGGTGAGCCTACTCAGATAAATCCGATATCGGCTGTATTATTTATATAAAAAAGGTGCCACGGCAGCTACGCTCATCGTATGTATTTTTTTATATTATGCTGAAATATTTTATTTCTATTATTTTACTTTGCTCTATGTTGTAAAATGAATATTTTACATTTTTTTTCAACAGAAATGTACTCCTAAACATTCTGCAGCTTGGTTTTACTCTAAATATATTAGTTATACATTTAGAACTGCAATGTGCATAAACCATAAATATTCTAAATAAGTAAATATGTATGTAGTGCATGAATCATACCTGATAACGATATGTAGTGGTGGACATACTGGTTTTTCTTTCTTAAAAAAAATCAAAATGTTTGTTTTTGTTTTGTTTACTATTTGAGTAATTCAATATTTTGTTAAAAAAAGAAAAAAAGAAAAAAACATTGCGATAGCGGGAAACGGGATACGTTTGCGCACGCTACATGACCTTGGCGACGAAGACTGCCAATATATTGGCATATGATGCCACCCAACTATATATGCCAAAATAGAAATTGAACTTTTGCAGTTTTAGATCCGGACCAATGTATATTTGTCTATTGTTAATCTATTTAGAACAGTTCCTGGATAATTTTATTTTTTGGTTGTCGTTTTGGAAACACCAAATAAAACGGTATGCGTAAAAACTTTTATAATTGTGTGCGTTAAGGTAAAAAATAGTACGTTTTCAGCTGCATATTTGCCTTGTACGGAGGCCCGCCGCGAAAGTGAAAAGTCTCACTCACTTTGAGTCTTGGAGTCTTGAAGTTTGGACTCTTGTCTCTATTTACATACAATTTGATATTTAAAAAGAAACAAAATAACAAAATACATCCTAAAATATATATAGAGAGACGAACACCATGGCCCTCTGGATTTGAGTCTGCGCTAAATTTACGATTTGTCGCCGGAAGAAACCTGATTTCTGCTCGAGACCCAAATCCAGAGGCCAGAGGGCCATGCGAAAAGCCGAAAATAATATTTACATACACACAGGAGACCTAAAAGCATACACCACTTTAAATTTTAATATGTAGTCCCGACAAGCGCACCTAATACAGAGAACCGTATTTAAATAGAATAAAAGTTGAACATTAACGTATATTATTCGATTTATAAGTTTTCACGGAATGCGGTTGTTTGAGCCTATGAGGATGTAACCAGTAGCTCTGGCTGGGGGGGGAGTGGAAACAGGAAAGAGTAAATTGGAACGGTCTATACTAGAGAGAAAAGAAGTACTATATTTTTTTAAAAATAGAGACAGACAAGTCCCAGCAGAGTATGGCCATGGAAAATTGGAACGAAGTAACGACCAAGGCTCATGAGTCATGGGCTCATGGCTCATGACCTGACCGAGGAACACATATTTTTCGATATTAAACTAAACCCATTTTTATGAAATATGCCATTTCAAATGTACAATATATATATATATATATATATTTACGAAATATAATATTTCACGGCTGTACTATAGGAATTGTATAGGCATATAGCCTGTATCTTGCAGTTCTATCAAAGGATTTGTATAGGCATAATGACTGTATTTTGTAATTATAGTAGAATAATTATATAGGTAGGCTGTATGTAGTTTGTAGCTATATTAAAGGAATTGTACAGGTGTATAGTAGCTGTTTTATAGCTGATGTAAAATATCGCATATACATTTTCTTTCATATACTATATTATATAATATATTTTGTGAAAATGTATATTGTACATATGGCATATTTCTGAAATATACTATATC